TATATAAAACATATATAGTATCTCCCCCTCCCCACTGATTGAATAGGGCCAATATTAAATCTAAATACATATTTCTAATACAGATAATAAATTCATTAAAATACAATTGCAATCTTAGTTTATATTAACTTACATTTATTTTAGTCCTCAAAAGAATGGGGCTCTTTTTTATTGAAAAGCTTTTAACAAGAGATGAATCCAGCTGGTTGAATGAAAGATGGGACGATGGCAATGATGATGAAGATGATGATGATGATGATCTGTACTTCTTCTAACATTCCCAATGAAACAGAATCGGAGTGCCATACCTAGAACATGGGTGGATCTCCAAGGTTGTAAAATTGAGTGTACAAGGTTCATTATGCCTTTCTCTGGAATAGAAGCCTATTTGAGACCTTCAAGAAGAGATTGGACTGCCATTTGTCAGAAATAGTGTAGGATCTCCCGCTTAGGCGAGGGGGGTTGGACTAGATGACCTACAAGGTCCCTTCCAACTCTGATTTTCTGTTATCTGTTATCTGAAGCACTGATGCGAGGTTCTGTTATGATTTTATGGAATGTTTGGGGACTGAAGTCTCAAAAATCACTGTTCCAGTCTCCTAACACACCATAAAATCTTTGGGGACTGGAAAAGTGAGCTTTGAAATTTCAGAACAGACTTAGTGAACAATTGTCTCTCTACTAATTACTGATTATTATATTATTATATTATTATTATATGAAGGATAAACTAGCTTGTGAAGAATAATTTCAGCAATATTATGTCTTTTCACAGGTCGTATTTGAGCATAATCTATTGTCAAGATGGTTTTAGCAGATCTTGGGAGAAAAATTACCTCAGCATTACGCTCCCTGAGCAATGCTACCATTATCAATGAAGAGGTAGGTAAATTTTCCATATGAGATACAATAAAGGCAGATACATAGGGAAAAAAAAATAGTTTGGGTTTGATAGAAAAGACCCCTATATTAAAATAATAAAGTAAGGATTCCATATATCATCATGTGAAATTCAATGGACAAAATTCAGTGAATTGGTGCCATTTGCTAAGTAGTAGTTATAGTAGGGATATTCATATTATATCTTATTCATTAATTTCTTTTTAAATTTTTATCTATTTCTCAATCCTCTATGTCTACCATGCTCAATTTGATCGTTTTCTATATTATTTTTCAACCAGTAAATATTAATCTAAAATGTTCGTTGGAAAGATAAATTGTGAACATTAAATTATAGATAAATTGCATAGAAACATTTTTTGTATTGTCCTTCTGCCCATTCAGGTTTTAAATGCTATGCTAAAAGAAGTTTGTACGGCATTATTGGAAGCTGATGTCAACATTAAGCTGGTGAAACAACTAAGAGAAAATGTCAAGTAAGTGAACCAAGCCAAGTAAGAATAATGTTGTTTTATCTTTATGTCGAAGTGTTAAGTTTATTTATATTGTTAGTGTTATTTTGCTAGTGTTACCACTCTAAAAGGGGGGACATGTAAAGTTTTGAATTGCTGTGACTAATAAGTTCAATTTTATATAAATTAAATAGCTATGTTATTTAAATAACTGTTATTTAATTTTATATAATTTTATGTAGATACAATTTTATATAAAATAATTATGTTCAGCTGAACAATTGTTTTTTTATTTACTGTACAGGTAGTCTTCGACTTACAACCGCAATTGAGTCCAAAATTTCTATTGCTAAGCAAGACATTTATTAAATTAATTTGCCCCCTTTGTTGCTAGAGTTGTTAAGTGAATCACTGTAGTTGCCAAGTTGATTATTAAGGCTTTCCCATTGACTTTGCTTGTCAGAAGGTTGCAAATAGTGATCACATGACACCGGGACACTGCAACCTTCATAAATATGAGTCAGTTTCTAAGTGTCTGAATTTTATCACATGACCATGAAGATACTGCAATGGTCTAAAAAATGGTGAAAATTGGTCATAAATCACTTTGTTCTATGTGTTGTAACTTTAAACAGTCATTAAATGTACTATTGTGAGGTCTACCTGTATATTTTTTCTAATGTTTTCTACATGTTGCAAAACAGTACGTATGAAATTTCAAGAAGGTTAACAGTAGTATCTAAAACTAACATTAAAAATCAGAATGCTTCCTTGAGAAAGAAGACGAGATAAGATTCGTTGTACATTGGGCCAATCTTCTGGAGGAAAAATAAACAGGAAGCTGGAATACAAAGTACAGTGAGATTCACTTAAGCAATAATGCTCACACTGAAAAAATGAAAAGGATGCTGGCTAAAGAATTTTGGAAGCTGAAGTCCACACATCTTAAAGTTGTTAAGTTTAGAAAACATTGGTCGAATTATACCAAAAACTAGAGAAACTGGGATGAGAGGTTGTCAGAAAACTCTAGAATTGTAGGCTACAGTAGGAAGTTGAAATCCCTGCTGGAAGAAGCAGTAGCCAACCAATTCTGTATTGTTGCCATAAAATTACATGGATTTTGTAGTGATCAGAAACTGATTTTGATTTGAGGGAACATTTTTGTCCCTATTTGACAAAAATTACCATCATATGAAATAATAAAATAAATATTCAGGGATTTTTAAGGAAGGGCATAGTTTACTCTATATTGAGTACCTACCCCAGATCCTCAATATAATAGTGGAACATAACTTACATTAGTTCAGTGGGGCATTGAAGTCATCTTTTAATAATGTTCTCCTTTTTCCATACATAGATCTGCTATTGACCTTGAAGAAATGGCTTCTGGACTCAACAAAAGAAAAATGATCCAACATGCCGTCTTTAAAGAACTTGTTAAGGTAAAATTAAGGTATTGGCTTCTAACCTATAGCTGTAATACAGGCAAACTTTCTAGGCATTCTTATTCTCTTAATTGAATATCCAGCCAAGCCCTCTTATCAATCTCATAATCGATGTGAAAATGCATGGCCATTTTAAAGTGAATCTGTTGCAATTATAGGGTATGCGTAATATTAATAAGGCTTGCTATTGAACTGTTGTTTCCTCAGATTGGCTTCTTCTGGTCAATGTTACACAGTATTGGCATCTTTGTATCTCTTTTACGGAAATTATTAAAGACAAAGAGGAGAAGAAAGAAGGCAATCTATTTTGAATCTTAAAGGCACTGCAATTGCCATTAGCAGCAATATAATATTGAGGAGCGTGAAGGACTGCAAGTGTCCTATGGGGCAGAGGTGTTCATTATTCCATTGCTCTCTGGTTGTATGTTATTGAAGCAGAAAGTAGGATAATATAACCTTGATTTCTGACTTTCGGAACTGAGCAGAAAAAGTGATACTGGAAAATACGCAATATAAAATATGCAAAACAAAACCCGAAGATTTTGTAAATATTTTGTGATTCTGGAAATTATGATGCATTTTATCTTACAGCTTGTAGATCCTGGAGTCAAAGCTTGGACACCCACAAAAGGAAAACAAAATATCATCATGTTTGTAGGCTTGCAAGGAAGTGGCAAAACAACCTCGTGCTCAAAGGTATCATGTATTCCACTGTGGTCCACATTACATTTTTGTTATCTCCTTACAAAGCTATTCTTTTTAAATTTGAAAATATTATGAACTATATGATTTCCAATTCAGTATGATATATAGCTGATGATGCAGACGAGCTTCTACATGGTTCATTGGCCATGTGTAATAAATATGTCAGATTTTACTGAAAGACTTTTGTAATCCAGATATCTATAATTTATTAGATGTTTTTAATAAAATACAAAAACTTTGCTTGTATTACAAGTTGGCAAAGTTGACAAGATAAAAGGACCATGGTAGAGCATGAGAACAATAAATAGTTGGTAGTAAACAGAATAGATCTATAGTTCTGTAATTGGCTGTACCTTAAAGAAGCTAATAGAGGATAGATACTTCATTCTTTGTATATGCAACTTCAAATGAATGAAAACAAAGTGTTTTTAATAATAGCTTGTCAGATTATGTATTGTTTTTGTTTAAATTAACAGTTGGCATATTATTACCAAAAGAAAGGCTGGAAGACATGTTTGATATGTGCAGACACTTACAGAGCAGGTACATTGTTTAATTACTTTTAGTTACTTCATTTTTGATCGATGCGTATGTCCTAGATGGCTAAAAATATTTGTATTCTCTAGGTGCTTTTGATCAGTTAAAACAGAATGCCACAAAAGCAAGAATTCCATTTTATGGGAGGTATGTATAATACCTAATAAATATAAACATTATCTAGTTTTGAGATAGTCTCTGTAGAAGTTCACTACATAGACAGAGTTGGATAAAGCTAGAACTTCATTGTGATATTGTCTTGGTTAATATTTATCAGAGATCTTCAAAAAGTTTTATAGCAAAGTGTCTTAAACTGAAATTAATTTGTGTATATCACAGTTCAAAATACCTCTGTTTATCAAGCTCAGCAGTTTTTATGGAATAAGGAATGGAGATCATATTCCATATTTATGTGAAGCATTCTTAAATTTGTGTATGTGCTTGTCTGTGTACCAATATATATCAGACATTTTGGAGTTAAATTATTTAGTTAAAGAAGCAAACAGTGAACATTTATAATTTGAAAAATATCCAATATCTGCTTGTCTATGAAAAAAATACAAAAAAATCATTTGATATATTGTTTCAAAAGAGCAAAACTCAGTTTTATTGTCAAATCCTTTCTTTTTTTAAAAAAAATTTTTTTTATTGATTTTTAAAAACAAACATGAACAAACAAAACATAAAAACATAAAACATTTTTTTTGAAAGCAGCTTGATCCCGGGTTACATCTCTTCGTACAGACACAAATTCAATTTCATGCTCATTTTTATATACCATTCCATATCTTATTACCATTCTACATTTTCTATATAGCTTCTCCCCTCTTTTAACTTTCTTAATTTTATTTTATTTATTTATTTCATTTCAATTCGGATCATTATACTTATATTCTTTGTCCTGTTTCAGCTGTCTATTATCTTTTCTCATTAAACAAAATTTCTCCTGTAATCACTGATTGGAGTATGACGCCTTTATATCTTTCCCCTAAATTTATAACACTTAATATAATACATAACTTCCATTCGGATTCTGCTTAGTACATTCTAAAGCTATACACTATATTTTAAAAAGAGAAAAAATTATAAGTATATAATATAATTATAACAACAATCCATACCAATTCAATTCTATCGTTAATATTAATATTCATTTAAATCTTAAACATTTTACACATTACTTTTCAAATAGGTATCATGCTTCTATGGGAACACTTATAAACTTTCCATAGTTACTTCCCCCCCAACTTCACTTATATTTTAAAACATTGTGTAATTAAAATGTTCCCATTCCTTCCTAATTCAATTCTCTCATTTATTTCATTTCATTTATTTTGTTCACAAAAGTTTCACTGAATTACACTGAGTATTTTATCCCACTTTTTAATCATATGTTGTTTCCAATTTTCTAACATTATTTCTAATACAAATATAACCATACAATCTTATGTACCTTTGCAGAATCGCTTTTTCCGTTAAATTTTTATCCATTATCTCTGAATAAGTCCTGTTTCTTTACATCTTGCTCCACACCTTTGTAGCTTCTCTTCCCTTCCTTCCTCCCTTGCTTCTTCTCTCTGCCCTTTTTACCCCCTTGTCTCTCCACCTCCATTTCCCTCTTCTGTATTCCCCTTTTCTGTTGCTTTCTAACATTATATCCACTTTTCACCTTATTTTTCCCTTTTTTGGTTGTTTTTTTAGATCTTAAATTCTCCATTCTCTTTCCCCCCTTTCCCCTTTCTTCCCCAGCTAAAATTACTTGTTCATTAAAGATGGCTTCTTCTTTGTCCCAATCTTCTTGTTGCACGGTCTTTTCTTGTAGTTTCTCGTAGGTACAAATCGCCATTTCTAAAAATTGAAAAATGGAGCCAAGAGAGCCCTTCCCTTCTTGTTCCTCTTCTTTATATTTTTTAAATTCCATTTTCAGTTCATCCACAAGTGATGCCATTGTAAAAAGATTTTTTTTAACAACCACCCAAGTGTTTTTAATCATTCAAATATAATTTCCAGAAGTCCCAAGGTCACCAAGCAATCCAAACACACACAAGCTGTTTCTTTTAACACTTT